GGTGAAATCTAAGCCCCGCCCCTATTTAAAGTGGGGTTTTCACGTTTTTACATAGATAGCTTCTTTTCCTCCTCTCTCAAATCATCTATCTTCTCTGTCCAGAATGTGGACTTTGTCATCTTCAAAGGTGTGTCCCTTGTCCTTCAGGTGAAGGTGGACTGCAGAGTTTTGACCTGAAGAGGTGGCTCTCCTGTGTTGTGTTATGTTCTTGTGTAATTGTTTTTTAGTTTCTCTAATGTAAACCTCTGGACAGTGCTCCTACACTGGACTGCATAAACGACCCCACTGAGCTTCTGTTTGGGTGTTTTGTCTTCTGGATGGACCAGGTTCTGTCTGAGGGTGTTGTTGGGTTTAAAGTTTACTGGGATGTTGTGTTTGGAGAAGATTCTTCTAAGTTTCTCTGAGACTCCTGCACCGTATGTGATGATGGTGCCTTTGTGTAAAGGGTGTTGTTGTTAGGTTGGTAGCAGAGCTCTCATGTTTAGGGTTAAGTTCAGTGAGATCATGGAATGGGATCAAGAATTTTCTACTGACAGGAAAAAAGATCTCAGCTAACATAGCTGTAGATCACACTGGATAAGTCTCTGTGGTGCATTTATTTTACATTTATTTTACTACCTCTTACTAGAGCTGTCTTTAGTAAGCACAAAATATCTTTGGTTGTACACATGTGCAATAGCAATAAATTATCTTGATTTCTGTTAAATGTACTTCCTGAATGAGTGACCTTTTCAGGCTAAAATAACAAAATGACAAATACAGACAGAAGGATGTCTTATTTCTTCTTTTATAATGCGTTGCATCACCACCTGGTATCAGAACAGGACTCAGTATTGGAAGATATTCAAAAATCAAACAACTTGGACTCGGATCAGGGGCAAAAATGTCGTTGTAACATCTCTAGATATAAGTCAGCTTTAAAAACTAAAACTATTATTTATGAACTAACATTAACACTAATGACACTAATTTATATATTTTTATTTTGTTGTTTGAACCTGAGGGTCTCATTATCTGAATTTTCTAACTTATTGGATTGCTCTATAAGTGCCCCTTTTTTTACTTTGAGCACCCGCCCCGTCAAAGGTCTCTGCACGGCCCTGCTAACCCCTCAGAATAAAAAGTCACTACAGAGCCGTGAAGTCGACTAGTCGACTAGTTCATACAACCCCTAATTCAGCCTCTCCGTCCTGCAGCAGACTGACCAACACAGTTTCATCTGTGACTTTAATCAGACGTCTACCAGGGAAATGGCTCCTGCAGCCATTTGTGTGCAGAAGAGAAGGAAAGGACCCACCCTTGTGGAGACTCCAGGAAAGACACCCCCCTCTCTGAAAACACTCCATTCACTCTCATCATCGTTTTACCAAACCTTAACCGAGGTTAAAATCATTCAGTAGTGTGGAACAGAGAATGTGAGGCTGAATCGCATTAAAAACTGAGGAAAATTCAGCAAATAAGAGCCTAACATGACATTTACCAATCTGCAAGTGTCTGCAGAGCGACTGGAGCATCCTCCACTCCTCTATGTCACTGATGTAAAAATGCATTGATTCCAGTTTTGCTGGAGTTCAAAAGGTTTCATCACCCAGGACGGAAATGCAACAGGCCTTTGGTCGTCAGGTTAATATGAAGGCCACGCTCAGTAATTTCTAGAAAATTTGCAATTATTTATATGTCAAAAATAGTTTTCCTTTAGAATACATTAATAAAAAACACATATTACTGACGTCATACCAATTATTGTTTAATCAGCTAATATAAAGTAAAATATATTTGAATAAAAAAAGGGGGGGGGTGGAATTTCATTATTATAATGTTATTAAACAATAGATTAAATCATAGTTTTGAACAAATTATAAGACACCAATTCACTTTTATAATTTATGAAAATCAAATAAAGTCATTTCTACATTTTTCTGTCAGCAGACTTTACAAACTGCATATTTTTACTTTTTACTAAAAGGTTAAATATTACTGAGTCAATAAGAAAAAAAAACAAGATTTCTACAGATAATTAAGTGCAAGTGATGAATGTTTCAGACTTGACTTGCTGCTTTAATTATTGCAGAAGTGAATTTAAACTTAGTGTGGCTATTTTCTACAGGAGTCTCAGTCAGATTGTTTATCATGTGTTAAAAATGATTCTGTGGATAAATCTGTACGTGGTTTTATCAGAACGTGATGAAATTTACAGTGAGATTTGATTTTTATTGAATCTAACCAAAAATAAATAAAATCTATTATTGTCATGTTGTGTGGTAGATACCTAATCCACGACATACAGAATCAGTCCACAGAGTCAGAGAAGATTACAAACAATAATTTATTAGTAAAAGGAGAATTGAAGGAGCTGCTAGGAAGTCTAGCAGTATTCGGCAGAGAAGCGAGGTTCAGGTGTGGAGAGTCTGGAGGAACAGGGAAAGTTAGGTCTGGCACTCGGAAATCTGAATGTTGGATCTGATGGAACTTACGGGTTGGAGGTGAGACCTCGTGAGAGAGGGAGGAGTGACCGGTCTGGGGAGGGCAGGAGGCTTACTGGAGGCAGATGAGCTTAGAGTCCAAATGAGGAGGGAGCTGAGCATGGAGGGTAATGATGATCCAGAAGGGAGGGTGGGCAGCCTGGAGTGGGAAGACCAGAGGAGGATGCTGAGAGACGAGTGGACAGTGAAAAAACCAGGTTGGTAGCAGCAACAATGTGAACTGATAGGAGATATCTGCAGGAGGCAAAAAACAGGCAGTCAAAAACACAGAGAGCTCAAAAATCCATATTCCAGAAATTCTCAAGATCAAAGCTTAGGTTGAGTTTGGCTGTTAGGAGAAATACCCAAGTCGAGTTAATCATCCAGCAAGGTGAAGGCGTCTCTCAGGAGCTTAAATATCCCTGGCCAGTTAATCAGCAGATTACCTGCAGCCTCCCCAATTCCAGGCACGCCCACCTGCAGAGGAGAGATGAGACTCAACACCAATTAGTGTGTGAAAAAAAACCAGACCGTGACAGTTATAACAAGTTTATGTTTGATGATTTTAACTTTTATTATTATTTTTTTTTTTACCATGTCCTGTCTGGCTGTGAAGCAAGCAGAATTGATGTCTGAATGCTGGTAACAAGCCTTACAGATTTATTCTCAGGTGGAGCATCAAAGCTTCTGCTTTAAATGTCACGCCTGATACTTCAAATTTTATTGTTATTGTTTTTGAATGCTTTGTAATTACACCCAGACACAGAGACAGAGGTGAAAGAGAAAGGAAAAGACAAACGGTGGGAAGGGGGGGGGGGGGGGGGGGGGCACAAAAATAAACAATAATGAACAAGAGGCTGCTTCTAGACCTGCAGAAAGAGAAGAGCAGAAAAAATGGGACACACAACAATACATCAGGAGCAAGCTATCACTGCGTCGACGTGATGATGAAATATAAAATCAACATTGCTTAACTGAACAATCACACAATAATAAATCATAGTGCATTTAGTGGCAACGACAGCCTTGAGACAAGTGTTGAACGTGCCCAAGACCATACTTTTAAGAGCACCATGTGAGCACCTGTGTGTGTACACGCGCTTGTTTATGTAAGGTTTCTCTATAGGAGCGTCCAATAGAATGTGAGGGACCACAGATCTAACCCCAAAGATGTGTAGGAGACAGGGGAAGCTCCAAGTCCCTGAGATCCAGGCGCTGCCCCAGAACACAGGAACCCCAAGGGGACTGCAACCAGAAAGGCCCCCCGCCCCCCTTGAGAGGCGCAGAGGATCGCCCCGGGGGGCCACAACCAGCAGCCGGCAGAGTCCCGGGAGATATCAGCGGCAAGCCCACAGTCCCGTCCGACACCTCCCACCCCCTAGCCGGCCGAGCCCGGGACCCAGCGACCCGGGACCCAGGGGGGACCACCCCCGCCGGGGACCCAGCAGAGCCCAGGGACCCAGACCCCACCAGGCAGCCACCGGGATTGATCAAGCAGACGCCAAATCTTAAACTCCCCAACCCGGGAGCCACGAACACTCAGACAGACCAAGGCACCACACCCCACACCAGGTGTGGCAGGGGGAGGGGAGACGAAGATCTATATCATCAAAGGAGGTCCCAGGAGAGGGGAGGAGTCAAAGGCCCCACCTGACATGTACAGTCATACACAAACACAGTCACACACTCCCTCCCTCATGCTCACGCATACACATACAACCAAAGACTTACAAAAATGCATGCCGGACACGCACTCATGCCCCCCATACACACCCTATTCACTCTGGTCCTGGTACTGCTGCACACTGGGTACAACCATCACCGGTTACCAGAATTTGACCCTTTCTGCTGGGGTGCTGATGAGCAGGCTCCCCCGCCCAACGCTGAACACAGCAACCCACCACCCCAGACCCAAACCAGATGGCCAGATCTCCCTCATAGTCTCCTGCCCCAGGAAGCCAAGCAACAACAGAGGTGTGCTAAGACCCCTAGTCTCCCTCCGCCTGCTTCATTATAGTGTTGTGTGTTGATGAGGTGTATTCCATGGCTGTGGTGAGCGGGCAGTGCGGGCATTGTCTGGCCTATGCCAGCTGATGCCACCGCACCACCCCACTTGCACCCACAGCCCTCGGTGTCTAAGTGCAGTTTCAAATTGGAAGTGGGCACCGGCACTCGGGAGGAGGCTGAAAAATCCCCCTGCCAAATGCCGTTGAACGTGCTCACTCCCAAGGCCCTAAGTGTGTGTTTGCGTGGAATGTCGTCGGTGGAAGTGTATAAGGTGCAAATAAAATTGGGGGGCAGGTTGCCACAGGAATGCGGAAATGGGGTCCATACCCGCACTCCCTGACTTGTCCACCCCCCAAGGTCCTATGTGTATGTTTGTGTGATGATGTGAGGGAGCAGGTGGAGAGAAATATGCGGGGATGGGGAAGAATCGCTGGTTGGGCTGATGATGATTTTCACTTTAAGTAAAACTGCTTCAGAACATCTGTGCATCAGTTGCTCTTCAGCTGAAGGAGGTTTTTGTACAACGTTGCTTCACTGTGTGAACGGTAAGTTGTAATCCTGCTGACAGTAATAAACTCCTGCATCTGCAGGCTGAACTCCACTGATGGTCAGAGTGAAGTCAGTTCCCGAGTAACTTGCTCAAAAATGATTTGGAACTCCAGACTGACGAAGTGTTGTATCAGCAATCAGGAGTTTAGGAGCTTCTCCAGATATCTGAAGATACCAGTTCATGTCATCACCTATCAGTGTGTCGGTTTTACATCTGATAGAAACAGTTTGTCCTGCAGCAACAGACTGAGCTCCTGGAGTCTGAGCCACACTGATTTCTCCTGATGAACCTGGAAATGATAAAAATGAGCAAAAAGATGAATAAACTTTAAAGGAATTTTATATGAAGAGAAGGATGTAAAGTGTTTCTCTGTTATTTAAGATCATCATTGTAGTGATTCTGTTTCCATCCTGAAACCAAGTTTTCATCAGAGAGTCTCACCGTGAACAAGGAGCCCCAGGGTGGTCAGCAGTAGAGTCAGTGACATCATCATTGTGCTGCCGGTGTGTCTGAGTCTCTGAAAGACCTGGACAGCCACTGATCAACACTGACCTCTTAACAGCTGGGAGCAGAGAGGCAGGTGTCACGATCTGCCCCTGTCTTCCTGGCTGTCTCCCTCTCCTGCCTGATTAGTCCCTATTGGTTTCACATGCCCCTTGTTAACCTGCCCATGCGTTCCTTATTTTCCCCAGTGTATCTATACTCCCTGTCTCGTTATGTCCTTTGTCAGATCATTGTTTGTAGTCATCGTTGTTTTGTTCCTGTCGTTCCCATTCCACCATTAAAAACATTTTTATTTTTCATCTGTGCCTGCTCTCCTGCCTCCTGAACTCTCCACCACACATGGTCCATCATCTCCACTCCACACAACATGACAGAATGATCTGACCAACCTGGACCTGTGGTGAGCCCTGACATCTGTTTCTGGAGGATTATTTTTTTTTTCTTTCAGCGGAGGGAGATTCTGGCCTGGAGTTTTGTTTTTCGGCGCATCCAACCTGTTCTCCGGGTGGTCGAAGCCCTCTGGGAGATCCTGGCGCATCCCATCTGTTTTCGGGGTGGTCGGGGTCATTTCTCCGCTCCTGCTGTTCTGCCCCGTCCTGTTTTTCATGGAAGCTGCTTTTCCTGGAGTTTTTGATGGAGGTAAAACCCCCTACGCACGCCAACAATCTCCGGGGTGGTAGGGCTGGTCTTCCTGCTCCGTGTCTGCTTCCCTTCACCTGAGCCTCCGCCTGTTGGATCCAGTCGAGTCATGGTGTGCACCTGCTCAGGACAATTGTCAAGTACCTGCCACCGCTCCTGGTTTCCTCGCGTCGCTCCTGCTGTTCGTCCATCTTCCTGGTCCATGCCTGCAGGTCCTTCATGCTGCGGTCTCTGCTGGGTCCCACGCCTGCTGCTGCAGTTCTCTGTTGGGTCCCACGCCTGCTGCTGCAGTTCTCTGCTGGGTCCCACCTCTGCTGCTGCAGTTCTCTGCTGGGTCCCACACCTGCTGCTGCAGTTCTCGGTTGGGTCCCACGCTTGCTGCTGCAGTTCTTGCTGGTTCCCACGCCTGCTGCTGCAGTTCTATGCTGGGTCCCACGCCCGGCCGCTGCGGTTCAAGTGTTCCAGTCAAGTCTTCCTGTCAAGTGTTCCAGTCAAGTCTTCCTGTCAAGTCAAGTGTTCCAGTCAAGTCCTCCTGTCAAGTCAAGTGTTCCTGTCAAGTGTTCCAGTCAAGTCCTCCAGTCAAGTCAAGTGTTTCTGTCAAGTGTTCCAGTCAAGTCCTCCTGTCAAGTCAAGTCGAGTGTTCCTGTCAAATCAAGTCTAGTGTTCCCGTCAAGTCGAGTGTTCCTGAGTCAAGTCGAGTGTTCCCGAGTCCCAGAATCAAGTGCTCCCTAGTCTCCTGTGTTATGTGGCTTGTGGGTGTCTGGTATCGACCCCTTTTGGGGGGGGGGGGGGGGGGGGGGGGGGAACTTTCACGATCTGCCCCTGCCTTCCTGACTGTGTCCCTCTCCTGCCTGATAAGTCCCTATTGGTTTCACCTGCCCCTTGTTAATGTTCCCATGTGTTCCTTATTTTCCCCAGTGTATTTACACCTCCCGTCTCATTATGTCCTTTGTCAGATCATTGTTTGTAGTCATTGTTGTTTTGTTCCTGTCGTTCCCATTCCACCATTAAACCCATTTTTATTTTTCATCCGTGCCTGCTCTCCTGCCTCCTGAACTCTCCACCAAACATGGTCCATCATCTCTACTCCACACAACATGACAGCAGGACACATACGCAAACACACACAGTCAGTTGGCTGATCATCAATTCAATTCAATTCAATTCAATTTTATTTGTAGAGCACCTTCCACAACTTTATAAGAAGCCCAAGGTACTGAACAGCATCATCATAAAACATTCCCATTACCTGGGCATAAAAGCAAGATAAAAACATAAAATCATAAAATATCAAGCAAACAATATTACAAATACAGAGAAAAAATGGAATAAGACTAATCAATTAAAAACAAATGGTGGACAAAATAAGATCAAGCATCCTGATCAAGAAGAAGAAGAATTAAAACCATAATGTCAGGGAGATTTAAAGAACCCTAGCGCTGAAAAGCAATCAAATAAAAATGAGTCTTCAGACGAGACTTAAAGACTGGAAGGGACGGTGCCTGCCTAATGCTCAATGGCAATTCATTCCACATAGTTGGAGCCAAAACAGAAAATGCACGATAACCCCTCGATCGATATTTCGACCGGGGGACCACCAGAAGTTCCTGCTCGGCTGAGCGAAGAGACCGAGATGGAGCATACCTGTGCAAAAGTGCAGTATTGTAGGAGGGGGCACTGCCCTGGAGGGCTTTATAAACAAAAGTTAAGATTTTAAATTTAGCTCGGAATTGCACCGGGAGCCAGTGCAAAGCTTCCAGCACTGGTGTAATGTGATCTCGACATCTAGTACCTGTCAGGAACCTAGCCACTGAGTTCTGCACAAACTGGAGTTGTGCAATCGTGCACTGGGCCAGACCGGCATGCAGAGCGTTACAGTAGTCCAGACAGGACAGGACGAAAGCATGCAACACAGACTCCAGATGAGCTCTGGACAGCAGAGGCCTGATCCTGGATAGTCTTTTCAGGTTAAAAAAACAGGACCTCACCACTGTATTGACGTTAGTGTCAAGATTAAGTGAGGAGTCCATTTTAATCGCCAAATTACTGACCATTTTCTTTTCATAGGGGGTCAATGGGCCAAGGTCAATATCAGCACCTGAGCCATTTCTTCTGCCAGGACTAAGTACTATGACTTCCGTTTTGCTCTCATTTAGGTGCAAAAAATTAGAAACCATCCAACATTTTATGTCCTTCAAACAGTCCAGTAAAGGAGAAACAGATCTATCCTCCCCACGTCGAAGAGGGAGGTAGATCTGGCAGTCATCAGCAAAGAAAATGAAATTTCACATTATGCTGATGAAGGAAGACTCCAAGAGGAAGCAAATACACCCTAAATAGGAGAGGACCAAGGACAGAGCCCTGTGGCACACTCCAACGAAGTCTCAAGCAGGGTGACATCAACTCACCCATCTTAACACAAAATGGCCTGACGTGAAGGTAGGAGCGAAGCCATTGGAGGACCTGCCCAGTTATCCCCACCCAATGATGTAGTCGGTCCAGAAGGACTTCGTGGTCGACTGTATCAAAAGCTGCAGATAAGTCCAGCAATAGTAGGACGACATCATTATCCATGTCACAGGCTAAAAACGTGTCATTAAAAACCATTAAAAGAGCAGATTCAGTGCTGTGACCTGGCCTGAACCCTGACTGAAAGGTCTCCCATAAATCATTTGTGTCCATAAAAGCAACCAACTGAATGCACGACTTTCTCCAGCAGTTTGGAAAGAAAAGGGAGTTTTGAGATGGGCCTGTAATTAACTAAGGTTGTCACATCCAGCCCCGCCTTTTTTAACATATGATGAACAACAGCCTTCTTAAACGAGGACGGAACCATACTAGAAGTAAGACTGCCATTTATGATTGCCAAAAGTAAAGGGCCTATCACTGGAAAAAGTTCTTTAAAAATTCTAGGGGACAGCACATCACAAGGAGAGCCAGATGGTTTAAGCTGAGCGACCAGTTTTTCCAAGTCCGATAAGGATACAGTTTCAAATGTTTCCAGTGCAGCCTGGAGCGGCTCTGGGAGTAGAGAGTCAGGTGGCGAGTTTGTAATGGCAGCTCGAATAGCTGTAACCTTATCAACAAAAAAGTGAAGAAAGTCATTACAATTTTCAACTGTGGGAGGCAAAGAACTAGAATCAGAGAACTCAAGTAGCGAATTTACAACAGAAAAAAGAGTGCGTGGATCATGAGAATTTTTTTCCACGATTTCAGCAAAGAACTTCACCCTTGCTTCCTGAAGAGTATGCTGATAGTTAAACAAAGATTCTATGAATATCTCACGAGAGACTTGGAGTCTGTCTTTCTTCCATTTCCTTTCTGCCCTCCTACAGGATTGCCTGAAGGCCCGAACATCATCAGAGAGCCATGGTTCTGGTCTAGGCCACGGCTTTCTAATCCTAAGAGGTGCAATTTTATCCTGAATATTTTTACAGATACTGTCAAACTGGAGTGTAAGCTCATCTGCATTAAGTGACATTGTGTGTAGCTCACTTCCTTCTGCACATAGGAGCTCACCAAGCTCAATAATCTTTGCTGCATTTAAAACACGACGAAATCTCACATGAGAGGAAGTCACAGCAGGCATGCTCTACATGTCATACAGTTGTGGTCAGCAGTTTACATACACTTGTAAAAAATATAATATAATGGCTCTACTGAGTGTCCCGTTATTTCTAAAACTCTGATTTTTCTCTGATAGAGTGATTGGAACAGATACTTCTTTGTCACAAAAAACATTCATGAAGTTTGGTTCTTTAATGTCTTTATTATGGGTTAACAGAGAAAAGTGATCACATTTGCTGGGTCACAAATATACATACAGCAACATGATCTAGCAATTTAGGTGACTTAGAAACGTGTCAGTGAACTGAGCTTCATAGCATGGCCTCTTAACTTCTTGTGAGTGATTATGAGTGACTACAGCTGGTGACTTCTCTTAGGCCAGGTAAATAGGGCTGATTGGATACAAACGCCCACAAACGCTACAATGGGAAAGTCAAAGGAGCTCAGCATGGATCTGAAAAAGCTAATTATTGACTTGAACAAGTCAGGAAAGTCACTTGGGGCCATTTCAAAGCAGCTGCAGGTCCCAAGAGCAACAGTGCAAACAATTGTTTGTAAGTATAAGGTGCATGGCACTGCTTCATCACTGCCAAGATCAGGAAGAAAACGCAAGCTATCACCTGCTGCTGAGAGAAAATTGGTCAGGAGGGTAAAGAGTGAACCAAGAATCACCAAAAAGCAGATCTGCCAAGAATTAGAAGCTGCTGGAACACAGGTGTCATTGTCCACAGTCAAACGTGTTTTGCATCTCCATGGACTGAGAGGCTGCCGTGCAAGAAGGAAGCCCTTGCTCCAAAAGCGGCACATTAAGGCTCGACTGAAGTTTGCTGCTGATCACATGGACAAAGATAAGACCTTCTGGAGGAAAGTTCTGTGGTCAGACGAAACAAAAATCGAGCTTTTTGGCCACAATGCCCAGCAATATGTTTGGAGGAGAAAAGGTGAGGCCTTTAACCCCAAGAACACCATGCCTACAGTCAAGCATGGTGGTGGGAATATTATGCTGTGGGGCTGTTTTGCTGCCAATGGAACTGGTGCTTTACAGAGAGTAAATGGGATAATGAAGAAGGAGGATTACCTTCACATTCTTCAACATAACGTAAAATCATCAGCACGAAGGTTGGGTCTTGGGCACAGTTGGGTGTTCCAACAGGACAATGACCCCAAACACATCAAAAGTGGTAAAGGAATGGCTAAATCAGGCTAGAATAAGGGTTTTAGAATGGCCTTCCCAAAGTCCTGACTTAAACCCCATTGCAAACATGTGGACAGTGCTGAAGAAACAAGTCCATGTCAGAAAGCCATCAAATTTAACTGAACTTCACCAATTCTGTCTTGAGGAGTGGTCAAAGATTCAACCAGAAGCTTGTGGATGGCTACCAAAAGCGCCTGATTGAAGTGAAAATGGCTAAGGGACATGTAACCAAATATTAGCACTGCTGTATGTATATTTGTGACCCAGCAAATGTGATCACTTTTCTCTGTTAACCCATAATAAAGACATTAAAGAACCAAACTTCATGAATGTTTTTTGTGACAAAGAAGTATCTGTTCCAATCACTCCATCAGAGAAAAATCAGAGTTTTAGAAATAACGGGACACTCAGTAGAGCCATTATATTATATTTTTTACGAGTGTATGTAAACTTCTGACCACAACTGTATTTCTACGTCTGTGACTTGCTTTTTGTCTGAAGGAGGTAAAAGAAATGGGATAAAATGAATTTCTGAAGAAAATTCTCATTGGAAAATGATCAAACACAACATTTTAGTCAGTCAGCTGATCACCTGCTGTCTCCATGTTTCCTCCTCTATGATGAGAATCTAGACTTTGATACTTGTTTATGAAAATTAATCAGTTTCTTTTTAAATAGCTTGTTATGCAGAGGTTTATTTGCACAAAAGAGTGAAATGATGTAAAACAGAACGTTATTCATGTCTCATCTGATTAGGATCAGATTCAGGATCAATCTTCAAATCTTCTTTGCAATAATTTGACATTTTTTTAAAAAGTGACTGGATTTTATTCATTTTCTTCTAGTCTTCCTGAAACACAAATGGTTGAGTTTTTTTTATGTCCACTAATTTCATTCTTTTCAGTTATTTATTTGTATGTTAAGTTTTTTCACGTTTTTACACGTGTTTATGTCATCAGTGAACTGCTGAAGCTTCCAGCTGTTAGTTTCTGTTCAGCCTGACTGAGGGAGGTTTTTGTACGATGGGTTTTCACTGTGTGAACAGACGCTGGCTGTTTATATAATGAAAACTCTGACAGTAATAAACTGCAGCATCTTCAGCCTGAACTCCACTGATGGTCAGAGTGAAGTCAGATCCAGATCCACTGCCTGAAAAACGATCTGAGATTCCTGATTGTCGGCGGGTAGCGAAATAAATGAGACGTTTAGGAGGTTGTCCTTCTTTCTGTTGGTACCAGGCTAAAAGGTTGTTGCTGTTATAAAGATGGACATCCTGACTGGTCCTACATGAGATGGAGACGGAGCGTCCCACAGCAGAGCTCACTGCTGCAGACTGAGTCACTGTGACCTGACCTCTGGTCTCTGAGGAGACAAAAGCAGAAAGCAGCTTGATGCTTTTGTGGGCTTCATTCCAGAGGGACAGATGTTCATAGAGGAGAGGAGTTGGATTCTCTGGACTTTACCTGTGAAGCAGCAGCAGAGGAGAGTCCAGATGAGGACGCAGATCAAAGTCATGGTTTTGATCAGGAGGATTTCCAAGTCTTCTGTTGTGATGAAGGACAGCTGTCAGTCATCCAGTCTTCAACTCTCAGGACTATAAACTCTCCCAGAGCACTGGAGCATGGTGCTGCTGATGCAAAGTCATGCTCTATGGAAATATGCTGACTCATTCCAACAGGCTCATGGCTCAGGCTGATGATGGTTTTAAATCACTTACATTTTAGCACGATTTTGAATCCTAATTTAAGTCTGAGATCTTCATAAAATTATCTTTAACATTATTACTTTTAAAACCCAAACTCCTCCTTGAACCGTCACCTTATCGTGGTGGAGGAGTTTGAGTGCCCTAATGATCCTAGGAGCTATGTTGTCTGGGGCACTTAGTGCCCCTGGTAGGGTCTCCCATGACAAATTGGTCTTAGGTGAAGGGTGAGACAAAGAACGGTTCGAAGGATCTTTCATGGCGGTTAAAACGAAGAGTCGGAGTACCCGGCCCGGAGGGTTACCGGGGTCCCACCCTGGAGCCAGGCCTGGGGTTGGGGCCCGTGAACGAGCACCTGGTGGCCGGGCTTTCGCCCATGGGGCCCGGCCGGGCCCAGCCCGAACCGGATACATGGGCTCGTCCAACTGTGGACCCACCACCCGCAGGAGGAACATGAAGGGTCCGGTGCAATGTGAATCGGGTGGCAGACCAAGGCGGGAGCCTTGGCGGTCCAATCCCCGGACAAGAAAACTAGTTTTTGGGACATGGAATGTCACCTCGCTGGCGGGGAAGGAGCCGGAGCTTGTGGCAGAGGTTGAGCGGTACCGGCTAGATATAGTCGGACTCACCTCGACACATTGCATTGGCTCTGGAACCCGAGACCTGGAGAGGGGTTGGACACCCTACTTTGCTGGAGTTGCTCCGGGTGAGAGGCGGAGGGCTGGGGTTGGCTTTTTGTTAGCCCCGAGACTCTCTGCCTGTGTGTTGGGGTTTACCCCGGGGGACAAGAGGGTAGCTTCCTTGCGCCTTCGGGTCGGGGAACGGGTCCTGACTGTTGTTTGTGCTTATGGGCCAAATATCAGTTCAGAGTACCCACCCTTTTTGGAGTCCCTGGGACGAGTGCTAGATAGTGCTCCATCAGGGGACTCCATTGTCCTGCTGGGGGACTTCAATGCTCACGTGGGCAATGACAGCTTGACCTGGAGGGGTGTGATTGGGAGGAACGGCCCACCTAATCTGAACTCGAGCGGTGTTTTGTTATTGGACTTCTGTGCAAGCCGCACTTTGGCCATAACGAACACCATGTTCGAACATAAGGATGCCCACCGGTACACTTGGTACCAGGGCAGCCTAGGTCACAGGTCGATGATAGACTTTGTAGTCGTATCATCTGACCTGCGACTGTATGTTTTGGACACCCGAGTGAAGAGAGGGGCGGAGCTGTCAACTGATCACCACCTGGTGGTGAGTTGGATCAGATGGCAGGGGAACATGCCGCGTAGACCTGGCAGACCCAAACGCATAGTGAGGGTCTGCTGGGAACGCCTGGCAGAAGAACCTGTCAAGACGGTCTTCAACTCCCACCTCCGGCAGAGCTTTGACCACGTCCCGAGAGCAGTGGGGGACATTGAGTCCGAGTGGGCCTTGTTCCACTCTGCGATTGTTGAGGCGGCTGTTGCTAGCTGTGGTCGTAAGGTGGCCGGTGCCAGTCGTGGTGGCAACCCCCGTACCCGCTGGTGGACACCAGAGGTTCGGGGAGCCGTCAGGCTGAAGAAGGAGGCCTACAGGGCGTGGCTGGTCTGTGGGTCTCCGGAGGCAGCAGACAGATACCGGATAGCCAAGCGGGGTGCAGCAGTGGCAGTTGCCGAGGCAAAATCTCGGGCGTGGGAGGAGTTTGGTGAGGCCATGGAGAAAGACTATCGATCGGCTCCAAAGAGGTTCTGGCAAACTGTCCGGCGCCTCAGGAGAGGAAGGCAGCAACTCGCTCACACTGTTTACAGTGGGGATGGGGAGCTGCTGACGTCAACTGAGGCTATAGTCGGACGGTGGAAGGAATACTTTGAGGAGCTCCTCAATCCCACCAATGCGCATTCCGAGGAGGAACCAGAGCTGGGAGGCCTGGGGATGGACTGTCCGATCTCGGGGGCAGAAGTTGCTGAGGTAGTCAAACAACTACACAGCGGCGGAGCCCCGGGGGCGGATGAGGTTTGTCCTGGGTATCTCAAGGCTATGGATGTTGTAGGGCTGTCATGGTTGACACGTCTCTGCAACATTGCGTGGTCATCGGGGGCAGTTCCTAGGGAGTGGCAGACCGGGGTGGTGGTCCCCATCTTTAAGAAGGGTGACCTGAGGGTGTGTTCCAACTATAGGGGGATCTGCAGTGATGCGGACGCTGAGCCGATCTGTCGTGGGGAAGAGGGAGATGAGCCAGAAAGCCAGGCTCTCGATTTTCCGGTCGATCTACGTCCCAATCCTCACCTATGGTCATGAGCTTTGGGTAATGACCGAAAGAACGAGATCGCGGATACAAGCGGCCGAAATGAGTTTCCTCCGTAGGGTGGCCGGGCTCAGCCTTAGAGATAGGGTGAGGAGCTCGGACATTCGGGAGGGACTCGGAGTAGAACCGCTGCTCCTCCGGATCGAAAGGAGCCAGTTGAGGTGGTTTGGGCATCTGGTCAGGATGCCTCCTGGACGCCTCCCCGGTGAGGTGTTTCGGGCATGTCCTGCCGGCAGAAGGCCCCCGGGTCGACCCAGGACACGTTGGAGAGGTTACATCTCCAATCTGGTCCGGGAACGCCTTGGGGTCCTGCTGGAGGAGCTGGTGGACAAGGCCGGGGAGAGGACGGCCTGGAGCTCCCTAGTTGGGATGCTGCCCCCGCGACCCGGACCCGGATAAGCGGAGGAAGACGAGACAAGATTATTACTTTTAATGTATAAAAAGCTCAAAATGAAACCAATAACTTCCATTAAAACCAGTAACAACACTTTTGAGACTCTGTACATTTTTACAAATGTTTCATCTTTTCTACAATATTTTCTAGTCAGCTTGTTATTTATTCATCAGAACTGAAACAAAAATTCTCTCTACTCAATATTTACTTTTACATGATTTTACGTTTGAACACCTTTACAATCTTTCATCATGTTTAATCATTCAGGATAAATAGTATTACTGTGTTGTTGGGAATTCAAAACTAGCACAGTTAATTAAATTTAAGCTGACAAAAGTCTCATTTAGTATAAACTGGTGAGTTTGTTTGTGTCAGACTCACAGAGCCGTGTCTCTCAGAGGTTTTTGTATGACGACTCGACCAGTTTGTATCACTGTGGTACACGTTTGGTGGAGGAACCGGACTGGAGTTTGGAAGTAAGTTAAAACCTTTAAATTTTACATTTAAGTTGTTGTTATTGTCATTATTTAAAGAGATTTGTTGTCTTTTGAAGTAATTTTGTTAATTTTTAAAGGTTTTACAATTAATATGAATAACTAAACTGCAAAGTTTGCTTTGAAATTAAAATTTACAACATTAAAAAATGTATTAGGATTTTAAAATGAGGCCAAAAAAGAGAAAACATTTATTTATAATGATTTATTTTCTAATCATGACGATTAAAAACAGAAAGTCGTGTCTCTACAGTCAAACGTCTCTAAACAGCAGCTGAGTTAGTTTGTATAACTGTGGGTCACGTCTGGAGGAACCAGACTGGAGGTTAGAAGTTAGTTTAATATTTTTGGGTCTATTATAAAAACACATGTATTTAAATACTTTCCTCATTTCAGAATGCCCTCTGTACAGAGACCTTTTACAAAGTTATGTTCATTTATAGAAAACTTTTAACACGTTATGAAAAATCTTTTTTATTTACATTTCTTGTCTTTGTTTCTATCTAATTAACTGTGAGAATAAAAAAAACAAAAATTAAATTTTTTATTTAGCATTAATAATACAATTAAATGTTTTTTCTCTTTTTATAAGATAAAACACAAGTAATAATTTTCCTTATTAGAATCAAATCTGCTTTTTAAAATGTTTTATCTTATTTCCTTTGCGATTTATTTTTACTGTAACTCTGAAATGATTCAGATGTAAAAAGTTAAACTGCTGGATGATTTTCTCTGAGCTGATCTGCATCAGAGGTTTCTGTTAGGAAGTGAAACAAAGTGAGTGACTGTTGGAGCAGAAACACATCTGGTAGAAACTTCTTCACATACAGCATCACTTCTGGGAAGAGTTTCTGCTGTTTGACTGAAAGCTGTTTAGTTCCTGTCCTCTAACCTGATTGGTGTCTCCTAGGTGATGCCCGTCCCATCCTGACGGTGCTGCCTCCCTCCAGTGAGGAGCTGCAGCAGGGGAAGGCCACGCTCATGTGTCTGGCCAACAAGGGCTTCCCCTCAGACTGGAGTCTGTCCTGGAAGGTGGACGGCAGCAGCAGCAGCTGGGAGGAGGACAGGAGCCCCGTGGTGATGAAGGACGGCCTCTACAGCTGGAGCAGCACCCTGAGGCTCACTGCAGACCAGTGGAGGAAGGTGTGCTCTGTGACCTGTGAGGCCACCCAGGGCTCCCAGTCTCCAGTCTCAGAGTCACTCAGGAGAGACCAGTGTTCCCAGTACTGATGGGACTCACTGCATTAACTCTGTTACTTGTCTCAATCTACCATCTATAACAACTTTTAATTTTGTTTGAAATGCTTTAAAGGTTTTGGAGAAATAAAAAAATATGTATCCATCAAATCCCTGTTTAATGTGGTTTTCATTTATACTGAATGGAATTTTCTGGAATATTGGAAATTTTCCACAGCCAAGTTTCTCATCCTCGCAGGAGACTTTAATCACGCTGATCTTAAAACTGTTCTCCCAAAGTTTCATCAGCATGTACATTTTCCAACAAGGGGAGAAAACATACTGGACCTGGTCTACACACAGGAAAAAGCCATTCCCCTCCCCCATATCGGCACCTCTGATCACCTCACTGTGATGCTAATGCCAGCATACAGACAGAGAGTGAAGGTTGTCAAACCGGTTATGAAAGAGGTAAGAGTGTGGCCACAGGGGGCCACCTCTGCTCTTCAAGACTGCTTTGGGTCAACTGATTGGTACATATTCAGGGAAGCAGCCACCTAGAACAACATCATAGACATCGAGGAGTACACAGATACGGTGAGCTCATACATCACCAAATGCATTGATGACGTTACACAGGTGAAAAGCATCACAACTCGAGCAAACCGGAAGCCATGGCTCACAGGAGATGTCCTCAGGCTGCTAAAGGCCTGAGACAAGGCCTTCAGAGCTGGGGATGAAATAGGCCTGAGAACAGCGAGAGCAAACCTGTCCCATGGCATCAGGAAAGCGAAACAGGACTACACACACAAGATAACCTCCCACTTCAATGACAGCAAGGACACACGGAGCCTATGGCAAGGCATCCAGGCTATTACAGACTACAAGCCTGCAGCGCGTAGCTGTGAGAACGACACCACTCTGCTCAACAACCTGAACAATTTCTTTGCATGATTTGAGACACAGAACAACACACGCCCACAGAAAACACCACCACCTCCACATGACCAGCCTCTGTGCCTGTCTGTTGCCAGCGTGAAGAGGACATTCATCACCATCAATGCCCGGAAAGCAGCAGGTCCGGACAACATCCCTGGTAGTATGCTGAAAGACTGCGCAGAGGAGCTGAAGAATGTCTTCACAGACATCTTTAACACCTCGCTGAGGCAAGCCACTGTCCCATCATGTTTCAAGACTGCCACCATCATACCTGTACCAAAGAAACCATCACCAGCTTGTTTGAATGACTACAGCCCCGTGGCACTGACACCCATTATTATGAAGTGCTTTGAATGACTAGTCATGTCACACATCAAATCCATCCTACCCCCCACTCTGGACCCATATCAGTTCGCATACAGAGCAAAACGATCCACAGAGGATGCAATCTGCTCTGCCCTCCACCCAGCCCTAACTCATCTGGACAAGAAAGATTCATATGTGAGAATGCTGTTCATAGACTTTAGCTCAGCATTCAACACCATAATACCACAACAACTCATCTGTAAACTGGACAGACTGGGCCTCAGCACCTCCCTTTTGCAACTGGCTGCTGGATTTCCTCAGCCAGAGGCCGCAAGTGGTACGTGTGGGCAACAAGGTCTCAAACAGCATCACCCTGAGCACGTGGGCTCCACAAGGCTGTGTGCTCAGTCCTCTGCTCTTCACCCTGTTGACACATGACTGCGCACCAACCTACAGCTCCAACCACCTTGTGAAGTTTGCGGACGACACAACGCTGGTAGGGCTCATCACCAAGGACGATGAGACCCACTACAGGAAAGAGGTTGACCTTCTGACCACTTGGTGCAGAGACAACAACCTCCAGCTAAATGTTAGTAAGACCAAGGAGATCATTGTCAACTTCCAGAGAGGCCACAACAACTACCCCCCATTGACCATCGACGGCGCTGCGGTGGAGAGAGTGAGCAGCACGAAGTTCCTAGGGGTGCACATCAGGGAGGACCTCTCCTGGACCACCAACACTGCTTCACTGGCCAAGAAAGCACAACAGCGCCTCTACTTCCTGCGCAAACTCAAGCGGGCAAGTGCTCCACCACCCATCCTGATCACATTCTACAGAGGAATTATTGAAAGCATCCTCTCCAGCTGTATCACTGTGTGGGGCGGTAGCTGCACTGACTATAACAGGAAAGCTCTACAGCGCATTGTGAGAACGGCTGAGAGGATAGTTGGTGCACCACTCCCCTCCCTGCAAGACATTTACACCACTCGCCTCACCCGCAAAGCCATCACAATTGTCAACGATGCCACCCACCCTGCGCACTGTCTGTTCAGCCTCCTGCCCTCTGGAAAGAGATACAGAAGTCTCCGCTCCCGCACTACCAGGCTCACCAACAGTTTCGTCCACCAGGCTGTGAGACTGCTGAACTCTCTTCCCTCACAGATCCCAGCCAGCAGAATCACCAGGGTGACAGGGGTATAGGATGACAGACTGGACCCTAAACCCCACCACACACACACACACACACACACACACACACACACACACACACACACACAAACACACACACACACACACACACACACACACACACACACACACACACACACACACACACACACACACACACACACACACACACACACACACACCACACACACACACACATACACATTATACAAAAAGGAAATAGTGGTTGAACCAATAATGGGGTAAACATTTCTGATTGTAAACAACTACCTCTGCATAGAAATTGCACACACCTGCTGCTATATGTTTTGTATATTATTAGCGATATTTACTTGTTTAATATTATCTTATTGTTAGGGATGTTTTTTGTTTTGTTATTGTTGTGCATCTGCACTTTATGTAAATGTCTACGCATGGAACAGTGTGAAACGTAATTTCAATTCCTTGTATGGCAAGCACATTCGAAGAATTGACAAATAAAGTATTCTATTCTATTCTCTTCTACAGACAAAAGTTGGAAATCATGTTCTGGTGTTATTTTGCATTTCTGAGTTTTAAATGCAATAAACTCAAATTTGTTTATAGCATCAAGACAGTTTGACATTTTAAGGAACCTTTATTAAATAAAAATAAAGCTATTTCTCTTTTCACTAAGTTATGATGTTTTGAATTGTTAATGTTTTGGTGTTGGGCGGGTTTGAATCTGGTTATATTAAAAATATGTAGAGAAATAAACCCAAGTCATAAATCACTAGTCTGTAAGCCCTTTTTAGAAGAAAGGCCTTGTCAGCAAATCAGAGTAAAACTGCCACCACAGTGTTATGAGCGCCGTACAGCACGGTGATGCAGGACTTTCGCAGCTCTTGTTCCGCTATGGTTGGTAATAATATTGCCAAAACTCCGGACTATGCTTTGTCACAACAGAGGATGGTGTCTTCATCATGTGGGGAGTTACTACCGAGATCCAGCCGGCAACTATATGAAAAATCAAACACAGGCCGTAAGTTTTGTTTTTGTAAACAGAATAAGCTGAGATGATAAAATGGAGTGATGCAGAGCTCTAGGAGCTTCTCTGTTACAGCTGGAGCTCAGACCACCAGAGGCTTCACGGGGACTGTGCAGGACAGACACCTTCAGGAGCAGCTCATCAAAAACACTATGGTCGTAAATAAGCAAGTTATGTCCAAACATGAATGGATGTCCGTGGTAGAGACTATCCCCATACACTCTATAGACCACCACTGTGTAATCTTTTGTATAAGGACATGATTGAGCCACATTATCACCACGGTCTGACCACTTAAAGCTCCCTGATGCCCGCTCAGCATTGCTGCAAATTGTCTGCATTACTTTTTAAATGAAGCTATTGGTCTAACAGCGGCAGTTTTCTGTGATTTAGGAAAAATACCTGACATTAAGGAACGGTTAATAATTTTCACTACATCAGCTTTTAAGCAGCTAAAAACATTTTAGAAGTTAGTTGGCAGGGTGTCCAGACATCAGGTAGACGAGTTTAAGGCCTTAACTATGTTCTCCAGCGTTTTAGCACTAATCACACTGTAAGCTGGCATTCTGGCCACATTGTTGTTGTGTGGCTTTAGCTGTGATCTGGTTGTGTTAGTTGATGTGGAGAAATAAGATTTTCATCTGATGTTTTTCTCATTGAAAAAGGATGCAAACTCATTAGGCTTCGTTTGGGAAAATAAATCAGGGTTTAACTGTGATGGGAGATTAGTTAACCTCTCAATAGTAGGAAACAGAACACAGTAATTGTTAATATTATCACTAATGACTTGGGAGAAATAGGCTTATCTTGCTTTATTTCATTCAGAATTGTAAGTGTGCAGCTGCACTTTGAAGGTTTTGAAGTGATCTGATAGGCTTCTTTTTCTGAACTGACACTCACCTTTTCTGCATTTTCTTTTCTGATTTGTAACTGGTTTATTAAACCTCCACTGAGCTTTTTCTTTGCTAGAGAAAAGTTTGACTTTTTTGGGTGCAATGGTGTCAAGGACTTCAAGAGTTTATTTTTATTTTTTTCTACCGTGTCCTGTCTGGCTGTGAAGCAAACATAATTGATGTCTGAATGCTGGTAACAAGCCTTACAGATTTACTCTCAGTGGAGCATCAAAGTGTCTGCTTTTAATGTCATGCCTGATACTTAAAACTTTATTGTTGTTGCTTTTGAATGCTTTGTACTTCTGACCAGACACAGAGTCAGAGGTGAAAGAGAAAGGAAAAGACAAAAGGTGGGGAGAAGGGGAGGGGGGGGGGGGGGGGATTCCACCAAAATAAACAATAATTAACAAGAGTCTGCTTCTAGACCTGCAGAAAGAGAAAGAATAGAAGAAAAATAAGGGACACACAACAATACATCAGGAGCAAGCTATCACCGCGTCAACCTGATGGTGAAATATAAAATCAACATTATTTAACTGAACAATCACACGATAATAAATCATAGTGCATGTAGTGGCAACAACAGCCTTAAGACATGTGTTTAACGTGCCCAAGCCCATACTTTTGAGAGCACCATTTGAGCACCTGTGTGTGTACACGCGCTTGTTTATATAAGGTTTCTCTATAGGAGCGTCCAACAGAGAGTGTGAGGGACTGCAGATCCACCCCCCAAAGATGCGTAGGAGACGGGGGGATCTCCAAGTCCCTGAGATCCAGGCGCTGCCCCAGAACACAGGAACCCCAAGGAGACTGCAACCAGAAAGGCCCCCGCCCCCCTTGAGAGGCACAGAGGGTCGCCCCGGGGGGCCACAACCAGCAGCTGGCAAAGCCCCTGGAGATCTTAGCGGCAAGCCCACAGGCCCGCCCACAGCCTCCAACCCCCTAGCTGGCCGAGTCCGGGACCCAGCGACCCGGGACCCAAGGGCGACCACTCCCGCCAGGGACCCAGCAGAGCCCAGGGACCCAGACCCCACCAGGCAGCCACCGGGATCGACCAGGCAGGCGCCAAAGATCTTAAACCCCCTGACCCGGGAGCCACGAACACTCAGGCAGACCAAGGCACCACACCCCACACCAGGTGTGGCGGGGGAGGGGAGACGAAGATCTATATCATCAAAAGAAGTCCCAGGAGAAGAGAGGAGTCAAAGGCCCCACCTGACATATATAT